TTGTGTTATTTTCCATGATAAAATTAAAGCAGTGTTGTTAATATACAACTACTAAGGAGATTTCTGTAAATTTAAAAAAAGTGAATGTGAAGTAGATGATAGAAGAAAATATAATTAGTAGCTGCTACCTCTGGACAGTATAAAAGTAGGTATGGTTGAAATTTAGTTTGTAAATTGAATTAAAACACAAATAAAAGTGTAACATTGAGTCATTTAAATTTTTAAAACTGCACCAGTACATATTTCTTAGGTTTTTTTTTTAATCTATTAAAATCCCGATCCAAACATTTGTTTATCACTTCAAATTTGTAAACATAAAGCTACCATATCAAAATTATTCGAAAATATTATAGATTGTAATGATCCTTCTGTTTCCATGAAAATAAGTATATTTCCATAAATATATTAATCAAACTATTCTCATGATCATAAAACTTTAGAATCTTGGGAGCAGGAGCTGTACCTCTTAACCTCTGCTGTTTGAACTGTCAAATTATAGTATTTACAGCTGACTTCAATTAATACTTTTTACTATTTTACATTCTTACAAAATTTAAACATTGAAACTTTGGAAGCCCATGGGGCGTAGCCCGAGGGAAATATAATAACAGGAATAGGCCTATATGTTTTGTTAAACAGGTATATAAGCTACCTTCATTCAAAATTTTATTTCAATCGGTTCAGTGGTTCTTGCGTTGAGGTCCCTAGAGGCCAAAAACACCATCCGTTCATATATATATATTTTATATAATATATAAATATATAATATATAAATATATATAAAGGGTGAGTTTTAAATGAGTTCCCCCCCTACTTTTTTCTACATTTCTTAATATATCAACTCCGGACCAGGTCAGATCATTGTAGAGTATTAAGTACTTCATTTTGACTGGGTATAAATTTTTGGCCGCCATCTTGGATCCGCCATATTGGATACAAGGTTTTTTTTCAAATGTAAAGGTAGGGTTGTGACAGATTATTCCAAACTAGAATTTAACGCTGATCACAATGCCACAAATAGTTTTAAAATATCTTTATCCGTTCTAAAGTTATAAGGACTTTTCATAACTTAATTTTTAGCCCATTTTAACATTGTGCATTTACAAACTAACACCATAATCTCAAAATAGTGCTAGATAAAGATAAGTATATACCACCATTCATTGTCGACCTATTTTCACTTGGTTATGACGGATGTATTTTTTCGGCCGCCATCTTGGATCCGCCATTTTGAAACGTGACAAATTAATTTAAATATGAAGGTGGTGTTGTGACCCATCATTTTGAACTAACTTTTTATGCTGAACTCAATGCCGCAATCAGTTTTTCATTTGCATGTTTGGTTATTGAATTATTGAAATTCTAAATAAGATAATTTTAATATTTCATCAAGAAAGCTTGATAACCAAAAACGGATTGCGGCATTGAGTTCAGCATAGAAATGTAGTTGAAAATGATGGGTCAAAACACCACTTTCATATTTAAATTAATTTGTCACATTTCAAAATGGCGGATCCAAGATGGCGGCCGAAAAAATACATCCGTCATAACCAAGTGAAAATAGGTCGACAATGAATGGTGGTATATACTTATCTTTATCTAGCACTATTTTGAGATTATGGTGTTAGTTTGTAAATGCACAATGTTAAAATGGGCTAAAAAATAAGTTATAAAAAGTCCTTATAACTTTAGAACGGATAAAGATATTTTAAAACTATTTGCGGCATTGTAATTAGCGTAAAATTCTAGTTTGGAATAATGGGTCACAACCCAACCTTTACATTTGAAAAAAAACTTTGTATCCAGTATGGCGGATCCAAGATGGCGGCCAAAGATTTATACCCAGTCAAAATAAAGTACTTCCTACTCTACAATGATCTGACGTGGTCCGGAGTTGATATCTTAAGAAATGTAGAAAAAAGTAGGGGGGGAACTCATTTAAAACTCACCCTGTATATATTATATATGTGTGTGTCCGTTAGCGCGATAACTCGAGCAAAAATGATCCGATTTTGATGAAATTTGGTACAAACGTGTAAACCTACGTTTATTCGAACGAGTTCCCGAACCAACATGATCGGACCATGGGAACGGGGGTTTATGGGGGCTTTTATGGGGTAAAAATGGGTTTTTCCCATTTTTGACCCAAAAAATGTAAAATTTTGCAATTTCTTTCTAAACTATTTTGTAGAGCTTAAAAAAAAAAATTATTTAGTATATTGAAGCGTTATAATGCGCCTAATGGTTACCGAGAATATTCCAAAAAATTGTAAATTTAAAATTCCCATGTTATTCTTATGGAGAATAAGTAAACTGTTGTAGTTTGCTTGTTTATAAACATATTTTGCCCAAATTTGGAAAATGTTTTTATTTCTTACTAACTATTAACATTTTACATAAAAAAACACTTTTACCCTCCCTGTTGCAGCAAACCTAAGCATGTTTTAAACTGATTCTATTTAAATAGGGAATAAATGTGATATTTTTAAGGAGACATTTTAGTGTAAATCCATTCAGGGAAATGGAAATTTGCTTAGTCTGCAGGTTTGCTGCGGTGGGGGTATTTATATATTAGTATAGACAACAAAAATTATCAAATCATAATTTCACGAAAGCCGCTGATGAGTGAGCTGTGACCAGCAGACAGTAAAGAATAACGTCACTACCACAACAACTCAACTCTACTGGTTTAGTGTGAAGTTAAGCACCCCCTCCCCTGTCTAACGTGACAAGGGGTAGGAAAAGAGAAAGTTTGTCAGAATGGCAGACTTGCCCTTTGTAAAGTCTGGTTCACATGCCCTCCCTCACCCTCAGTCGCTTGCATAATTCTACTAAACAAAAGTTTCTGAGTGTTAATTTTAAAATTAATGTTTGAATTCAATGACTAAAGCATAGATCTGATAGAACTTTACTCTAATTTATAAATGGGCTTATCAGAATTTATCAGCCATTTGCCAGTTTTTTACTTTCTCCCTCTATACCATATGGAGAAAGTATTGTTTTCGTCAAAATTTTCGAGTTTGAGTTATGAGTGGATATATTCGTTTTGGGTCCCCCTGGACCCAAAAAAGTGGTTTTCGAAGTGATGTGTGTGTGTGTGTGTCTGGATGTGTACAGAGCTAGAGACTACACCTGTGGTCCGATTTCGATGAAATTTGGTATGTAGGTTCTAATCCATGGTATCTCCAGGCGTTTTTTTCCTTTTTTTGAAATTTTTATTTTTAATGGGGATTTTCTCATAAAAACCCATAAAAAAACGGAAAAAATCGGATTTTCTCAAAAATGGCCCGAACGAATTTGATAACAATTTAGTATGTTGTAGCCCTTTAAATTCTGAATAAAATGGTACAAATCCCATTTCTGTAAAAATTACGGTTCAAAAGTTATTGTAAATTATGTTATTTTCCCATAAAATAATGGAAAAATCGGATTTTCACAAAAATGGCCCGAACGATTTTGATAAAAATTTAGTATGTTATAGTCCTTTAAATTCTGAACAAAATTGTACAAATCCCATTTCCGTATATTTACTCTCACGGCTTACACATGATAAAGGTTGTTGACAAACTTATGGGAGAAAGTATGTGTCAGAATGCTGATACAGTTTATTTCTTCTTTACTTTTATATGTAAAGATATCTTTTAATTTAGCCTACAAGAAAAAAAGAATATGTTTTGTTTGGGACTTAAATCTCCTTAATAAAAGAGAAAAGACTGTATGTTTGATACAATTAATTTCAACAAGTTAATGTGCAACTATGGGACAATTTTTTCTAAAAAAATAACAGTCTACAGTGTAAAAGAATTGTGTGCACTGTGCAGCAAAATATGTTTATTCGGGTGCTTTTAACAAACGTTCCACAGTTTTAATTAATAACAAAAGTGTTTATGTTCCTGATGATACCAAGAGCAAGGCTGGGCAGAATGGATTCACTGTGAACCAGCCGGGTACGTAACTACAACCATAGATAAAACATACTCCCTTGTGTTGGTTAGTCTATGCTACAACTTCAACTTCCTTCCGTGCGTGAAGGGGTGGCAACGATCGATTGGAACAATCGATGTTTTGACCCAAAAATATTCATATTGATATATAATCGGAAAAATAGATGTTTTATTAAAATATTATGTAAAGCCATATGTCAAGATTTAGTTAACTGACATAATTGAACGTCAAATCTAGGTCTTTGTAAGACAAAAGAAAATCACACCGTTTTAAACTTGTAACCTAATTTTATACTCATTATAAACAAACACATCCTACATATCGGTTCTCGATATATTTTTTTTGTGAGAAAGAGAATGTTTTAATATACCAATTTTTACAATAATTTTACAGATAAAATATTGAAAGAAAGGTCGTCGTCTGCGGGTGAGGAACCAATGATGCTGGCGACATTTCCCTTTTGTATGGCCATGGCAATTCTTTGAACTAGGTGGCTCCTCCCTTTATAGTCAGTCACCTGTTTTTTCTATTAGTTTGCGACCACTAACCAGGTATATAAGCTACCTATATACAAAATTGTATTTTATCAGTTCAGTGGTTCTTGCGTTATTAAGTAACAGACAGACACACAAACACACACCATCTCATTGTTATATATTAGTATAGATTTAAATAACATTACTTTACTGTAGATTTAACGAGTGCTTAAGTTTGCTGCTATGGAGAAGGTAAAAAGTGTTTTTAGTATAGGATTTTTTAGTGTGTCAATAGTATAGGATGCAATAAATAAATTTGCCAAATTTTATCAATTTATATCCATAAACAAGTTAACTACAACAGTTTAATTTTCTCCATAAGAATACCATGGGTAATCGGACATACAGACAGACATAGCTTGTATTAGAGTATAGGATGGTTATATTTTGGCAGTAGAATGTTAAACGTAACCCGAGTCCACAACAATATAAATACCATCCAGTGAAACCATGGAGGTGGAACACAATACTCTCAAAAACTTAAAATATGGAATCGTGGAAAAGTCAGAAAAAAAACAATAATAAAGAAATCAGTATATTTGTGTGAATTTAAATTTAACTTTTCAATCAACACAAAGATATTTATAGAATTAAACTAGAAAATAAACAAACAAAAATCTTGAACAAAATTACAAGATAGACGTCTTGTGCAAAATAACACAAAAATAATAAACATATTTCTTGTAAACTAGATACAACTTAGGTAATGGGGCTGTAATAAAATTATAAGGTGATATATATGTCTATGTCTATAATAGCTATATAAATGAAAGATTTTTTGCAGTCCAATAGACTGATCTAGGCTAATATAGCTATATTTTATATTTAATAGCTAAGGCAGCTTTGTTATTAGGAATTAGTTACATACTAATAAGATGTTTAATTAAATGAAGTATACAGTACACTTCCGACTAACCGAGGTTGTTGGGACCAAAACTAACCTCGGTTACCAGGAATCTTGGATAACACAGAGGTTGCATAGATTTTGAGGTTAGGGTTACGTTATCTTATTATGAAGTCAAATCAAATATTTCTTTAACATCACATAGCGAATGAAAAGTGATAATATGTAATTTTAATACAACTTTTTTTCCAAATAACGTAGAATTATAAAAAAAAATAACACAACAGACATGCTCAACACTTCATTAATCGTCTTAATCTTGAATTTTTAAACCCAGTATTATTAGACATCATGATAAACCAATAGAGTGCATAATTTAAAACAAAACACTAAGGTGGATCTTTCTAGTTCAAAAAGTATAAAATTATATTTTGTTTAAGTTTGACCTGATCTATAACTTGATACAATCATGTCTACATCAAAACATCGTAATCAAGAAGACTGACACTGCTATTGTTTATGTTCTGCAGACGGCTCGTCCAGTCTAGTTTGCCGTCGGTAGCCAGCCAACCTAGTACAGTGTAATTATAATTTTTAAACTTATTTCGGTTCATTCTAATGTTAAAACATTATTCCTATATATTTATCTAGGTATTCGTTTAAATAAATAGTAAATACATTTTTTTTGTTTACATTTCTGTGAACGGACATATACTATAATAAAGTAATTATTGTTTTCCTAATAAAAATAAAAGTATATATTAAGCAAAAAAATTACCTTGGATAATCGAGAGTGTACTGTTCCTACATTGCCAACATTTAATATAAGTCTGTATCACCGAAGCTGTCTCCTGCCCCTCAGGCTACATGGGATTCATCCAAGCCTTAGTTTTATTACTTAGTCACTCTTTAGCTTTCTCACTAACTCCAGTAACAATTTCCCACAGGTTAAGACTTCCAAAACTTTATACAGAATTTGATATGTACATAAAAAGATAAGACCATTGATACTTAACACAAGCTAATCTTATTAGGAAAAAATAAATAACAGAAATATGAAAGAAAATTTTTTCTTTAAGTTGAAAACTTTACTCTAGACTGTCTGTTTCTTAATCAAATTTGCCATATCTATGATTTTGGAAATAATGACTTTTGAATAGAAAGTTACTGGAACTAGAGGAAAAGCTAACGGTGACTAATTAGGGCAAGGGGGCAGAGTTCCGGTTTTTGGCCCTGGCCAGTCTCAGGTGGGTCAGGAGACAGCTTTGATCATAAATCATAAAGTGGTTTACCTTTCAAATTGTTGAACAAATAATCAAGATATTGAAATATAATACAAACATCAAAATGTAAAAAGATTGCTATAAGCTAATCATGTAAACACTTCCTAATATCTATGAAAATCAGGGTACAAGTCAAAAGTCAAGTAAAAAAACACATCATAAAGTATTGTCTGTTCCAACAATATTAGTAATTAGGAGTAGTTTGTACAATAAAAATGATATCTTAAAGAGTAAGATTTGGATAAAAAGTATCTATCTAGTGATCCTAATAAACTGACCACTAGTACACTGTAGGCCTAATCGTAATCAAGGACTGACTCAATAATTTAACTTAGTTTGTGTAAAGTTGAAAAACTTGATAGTAAAAATACCTCGATAAATTACACAAAACTATTTAATATATACAGTAAATTGTGAAGTTTTCACTGGAGACCATCATACACAACTCTTTACAAAGCCGGAATAACAAAAAAATATTTCACTGGTATAAAAAAACCCTACAGTATAATAGGACTTTCAGTCTTATATAACAATGAAAATTGAGAAATATAAAAATGGCACATAAGTATAAAAATCAAACAACTACTCATGTCTTGTATTATTGAGTATTAAAACTAGCACCGCGATCAGTTACCATTTATTGCACCCCATAAAAGGTTTTAAGGCAGTAACTTAGACACTATCTTAGAGTTAGAAGATAGGTACACAAATTACATTTATCTGCTACCAAAGGCCATTATTTGCTCCACATAACAAACCATAAAATATCATTATTATTTTTATACACCTTAGAGCTGACAAAAGTTTGTTAAGTCAAATAAATAATAAGAAAGTTTACACCAGGAAGTCACCTAGCTCAAAATAGACTTTCAGTCTTTATAACAATAGAAATAATAAATCACAAGTATGGTATACAAAGTTGAGTAGGTATACAACAATTAGCAAGTAAAGCAAACTTGTCTAATTTATCTAAACCTAATCACCGAGTTTATTATGACACAACACTAAATAAAATGCTACTGAGATATGAAAATATTCATAGAAGATACCATAAAGTAAATATTATCAATGTATATCCAAAAATGTTTGTAACAATTACAACAAAACAATAGGTATATAAATCAATCTGATTGCACAAAATGTGGTGTTTTAACACCACCTGGTAGGGTGAATCAACTAGTTACTCTTTGGTTTAAACAACTTCATTCATTATGTTGGTATGGAGAACAAAATGGTTCACCTTTGGATTGATGTGGCTCATGTTGAAAACTAAACATTGACGTCGAGTGATGATGTGTACAGGGCTGTAGGTTAGAGGATAAACTTCCCCTGCATACTGCAACGGGACCCCATCGGGCCTCAGCACCTCACAGGCCACACTGGACTTGTAGTTCAAGTCGTCGTTGACATACTAAACATGACAAAATCAAAATTACTACTATGGCTTGTAGTACAATGTAATGTATACCAAACATGGTACAGCAGTAGAGAGTTTTAAGATTTACTGATTTGTCTCTAGGGCAACAAAAGAAAGGTGGCTACCACTGTTTTCTATAGGTATGCAGAAGATAATAATGTGGTTTGGTAAAGTATTTTACTTGGTACAGATTCAATAGCCTACAATAATTAAGAAATACAAAAAATAAAATGATCTGTTACAGTAATTTTTAGTTAACGTGTGAATTAAAATATCATAAAACCTAAAAAGACAACTGATTATTATAATAAGAAACAGGGACAAGATCAATTTGCAGGTAATATTGTAAAACACAGTAGTTTAGCAGCCAACAAAGTCAGCTATGAGAAAGAAAGAAACAAAGAACTGCCGACATTGACACAGTCCTCAGCAAGGAGTGTCTCATTCGTTATAATCTCATCAGTATAATTTTCCTTACAAGGAATAACAGTGTATTAAGTTCAGAAATAACCTTTTTTTGCTACAATACTTAAAATAACATGCTATAAGTTTATAACTGGAACAGTATTATTGTAGGAATTGGGGAACATTTGCGATTAATATTATTATAGACTATACAAGTTTTGATGTTTGATATTTTTCCTCTTTGCCTTTACTTTACCATAATCTATAGTCTTTCATTGTCCGTCTGTTGAATGTAAACAGCTGACAAGTATGACTGTCTTTGTACTGAATGCATTAATATGATTCTAAGCCCCCATTTTACCAAACACTTAAACCGCCATTAAACCATGCTCTAACTGCAGTTAGCTCTTAACTGACAAAATCGGATTTCACCACTCACCGTTAGAGCTAGTTTAGACTAAACCACTGTTAGATAATTAACTGCCCAATTTTGACTGGTTAACTTATAATAATAATAATCTCTTTATTGCTTTTTGACAATTGTACATTGTATAGCAAACGTCAGTCAATACAAAAAATGCAACAAATAAGATAAAATATAATATGTAGCTGTGTAAACTAAGGTCGGAAATTGGGTAGGTATTTATTTATAAAATCTATATATATATATATATACTATGTAAAAACAGTAAATGAATAAACTATTAATTAATAACAATAAATAAACTCCTATCAAAAGAAATAACAGTAATTATTTTAAAACATTGACTAAAATCTGACTAAACCCCTGGGGAAGAAAATTTTTTAATCAATTCAACTCCAACGGTATTTAGTGAACTCATCCACCCCGTAGAACACAAGATTCGTCAACTAATCATTCGTCAACTACAGTCTTGTTTTGAACAAATGAGAACCCTCCAGGCTTTTTAGTCTCTCAGGAAGAGCGTTAAGGAACTTCTTTAATCTTTCATTAAGTAAATATCAGCTGGCTTTAAGTTTTAAGTTTATATGGAAAGGCCAAATGCTAGAAGAGCATATGATACAAATTTGCTTTTGAAAGTGATAGTGATGAAGAGTATGTTGTTCGCCGACTTAGGAGGATATGAGAAAGGTTTAATGATTTTAATAATTTAGACTTAGATTTAGATTTTCAATTATTTTAATAAATTGATTTTATTACTAGATATGAATTATCAAAAATGTTGCCTTTTTCTTTAGGATATCCCACATGGTATTTAATAAAGGCGTATCTCTATTCTCTAGGTATGTGATCAGGGATGGTGTTGAATGGTTGAACTGATTGGCGATCAAAAGCCACTTTATCCCAGCTGAAAAGAGTGTTTTTCAACCAACATTATGGGAACGCCACTATGTGCGTATTTTAACCCAAATATGAGTGAAGGATGAGTGTAGGATGAGTGGCGCGATCTTGTAGTCTTGTTAGTGACTAAGGCCGACATGTTCCTTAGACACAGCTGTTAATTAATAGCCCATACAGCTAATGGCAACTAAGGGACCTACAGTTTATAGTGGAATCCGAACCACATTTTTCCTTGTAATTTACGAATTGGTCTAATTATCAGGATAGTACTGCGGATAGTCGTAGTACTCACTAGTGCGGACGTTAATCCACACCAGGGAGCATTAATTAACCTACTGGTACTAAGGGACATGTTAGGGACTATGCCTTGCTACTACGTATCAATTTTATTAATCTTATAAATGTACAGTTGGTTGTTTGAGCTATCAAAATAAAGAGCACATGGCACATTCACATTTTTAGTTATTATCAAATTCCTTTTTTCATTGTTCGAAAATAGGCTCCCTTTTCCTTTTCCCGGTTTTGGGTAGCCCTACTTACGCTTAAAAAATTGTTTTATGTACGGTTGGACGTAATTAAGGACAATAACTAAACCTAAATTGTCAGTATTCTGCTAGTATTGATCTGTGTCCAACAGAGTAGAAGAGGGTTTTAGTGAGTACTCTAATAAATTCTGGAGTGTCACACTACAGGCTGACTACCTGTGTGCGTAAACCCATTTCCCCTCCTCTCCCTTGAAAAAAAATCTCTAGTATTGATAGATTATCATAATTTTGATGTTATCTTTAATATGTCTCGTACTTATAACTCTTTTTGCCTCAAGTTTTTTCACTACTTAAAATGTACCAAACTGTTTAGTTAAAAAACAGAAAGCTTGAACTTCCCTGTAAAAATGTCGATTTTGAGACTTGACTCAGCAGCAAAACTCAATTTCAATTTGTTCCTTAATTAAATCTGTTTTATCAACATTGCTTTTCCTGTATTTACTCAGGTTAATTGTGTTACTATTTATTCTTGTTTTCTGGTATTATTTTTGCTCTTATTGCTCAGAATCTGTTGTATTCTTTTAATCTTACTGTCTCCAGTTTTTCCAATACCTAATAAAGACATGTTTTTAGGTTATGTTTACTTGCTCCCAAAACAGCCGGGTATTATGACAGTTCACTGTCACCGCCACCTGGATTTTACTCTAAAATCTCGTTTAAATATGATTGGTCCCTAAAAATTCTTAGCCTCATTTTATGGCCACTTTATCATGGCCTATCTTGTTACTAAAATAGATAAAGCATTTATCATGTGTTTCTTTCTTGACACAATCCTGTTAGGAATAAAATATTTCAATGTAAGGCACTGTAATTGGATAACCATGAATGTATATTTATAGTAATGTCAATGTATTAAAATTAAAAATAATGGTTTAACCCTTCATGGGTGTCTTTGATTTTAAAACATGATCAGTTGCACAAGGAGTTTTTCTCCAGGCATTGAAACATCAGACAAAAAAGTAATTTTATACATCTTTTAATACCAAAACTTAAACCATGTATACTAATTTCCTAATTTACGTATAAAAATATATAGCAAAAAAACAACACCATGGTGACACACGGATTCGGGATCTGTTCAACTGATTAATAGAGGTTGTGCGGAGGAGATATGCGAGCAAAATAATGTTCAGTCAGTTCCTAGAAAGAGGCACGTGAGGTACTAACGATCAAGCAATTATTACGTTTACAAATTAAATCTGCTTACAGCATTGAGATTTTGGGGAAGCAATCCCCTCCACTTGACCCTTACCTTTAAAATAATAGCTCCAATAGCTGATTAAGCAACATACATTAAATACAAATAAATAGTGGGGGAACTTCCCCTCAAACCATCTAAATATTGTGCTGAAAACTGTCTGTGACAGTTCAGTAACAATAATTAATCTATAAAGAAGTATGTTTAATTTATGGTATGCTTATATTATTATGAGTAAATGTAGAAACTTACCTGAACGTACACACAGACTTGCATGTCTTCAAAGTTTCCCATTGCATTAACAAGAAACAGTCTTCCATTGACCACTTGAAAGAAACATAAATTCTTTGGACCGTCTTTTAACAAAGAACGACCATTCTCGAATGACCACCTTCCTTCTTTAAAGTTCAAGTAAAATGATTCTGATGCATTATATTTGATTTCTGTGTTATGGACCTGAAAATGGTATATTTAATTAAACCTTCCACTACGGTAACATACTAGCAACTAAAATAATACTTAAACTCAAATATTATGAACTTACTAATGCAATGTGTGCGTAGGTTGGAGCTTGTCGACGTCACAAAAACTTACTACTATAACCCAGAATGCCAACCGCATGGTAAAAAGCATTAAGTGTGCTTTTTACCACGCGGTTGGCATTCTGGGTTATAGTAATATGTTTTCTGTGTCGACGTGCAGCGCCGCACAGTGTCGTGCCTTGTTCTGTGTGTTGTATCTTATAGGCTAAACAAACTATTTCTAAAAATAAATGACAGTTATTTGTTTCCTGAGTTTTATCTATATCACAACATAATATCCAGTAGGTCTTTGTCAGCTCTATTAAATTCCGTTGAGCAAGCCAGGAATTATTTTATGTATGCTTTAGTCACATTGAAAAAAAAACTTAAAATTAATTCACAAAGTCATTGCAATACTATATTCAAAATTATTACTAGCACTCACTCAAGGCAACACTAAATAAACAGGCCGTAATGCTTCTCTGGCATGACGTCATCATAGGCGACGGCAATGACGTAATGTTATTTTTTTAGTTACTTTTTTGTTTTCCAAGAAAAGATTTTAAAAAGCAGCTGATTACCAACGGCAAACATTACGTCATTGCCATCGCCTATGATGACGTCATGCCAGAGGAGCATTACGGCCTGTTTATTTAGTGTTGCCTTGATTCACTGCAGACAACCCACTGCCATGTTTGTTAACACGTTCGCTGCGGGTGGGTCAGTACTGAAACACGGCAATCGCAACCCTCACGCAGCCGGGTCAGTACTGACCCAAAACCACCACTGCAGTGCATCATTCTGTTACTCAGTGCGAGCCTAGCATTGGCCAAAGGGGGACCTATACCACGTTAGCGTATAGTGGGTGACATGCTTTTTGTTGTGATTTAGGTTGGTAGTAAATTTCCCCATAAAATCCTCGTCTGGCAAACTTAGAAATCAACTTCTTGTCCCGACTTTCTCCCTCCAATTGGCAATACAATGGGACCGGCTACGTTCCAAACAGTGCTGCTTTCTGTGAGTGTTTTAATGAACTACGTCGACTCTCGTCGTAACGCAGTACATCACCACACGTTATTTGCTGTTCGTCAGACTGAAATTTGAAAGCCAAGCGGGCTCATCCAACGCTGTGCGGCACCGGGGATATGCCGCCATTGATGGGCCACAGGGAACGTGTTAATGTGACACACATCCGGCAAAAAGTAGACAAGAGTTCAATTAAGTATGATCTTAACGTTATATTTTAAAACAATATTTCAACCTATTATTTTATATGGTAGTAAAACATGGGTATTGTCCAAGAAAAATGAAAACCGACTCATGGTGTTTGAAAATAAAGTCCTAAGAAAAATATTTGGACCAGTGGGTGAAATGTGGAGAAGGAAAAATAGAGCTAAGATCACTCACTATACACCAACCCAGATATTGTTGCATTAGTTAAGGAAAGAGGGTTAATGCTGATGTTGGATGTGCTAAGAAGAGAGAAAGGAACAAGACTGTATGAAGTTTTGAGAGCCACACCAAGAGGTAAACGTCCATTGGGAAAGCCGAAAATTGAGATGGACTGCCCAAGTATTGAACGACATCAAGACAATGGGTGTAAATGTTAACTTGGCAGAAGACAGAGAAGGGTGGAAGAGGCTGGTACACGAGGCGAAGAATCAACTGAGATCTGTGGAGCCACGGCAGTAAGTAAGTAAGTTAATGTTATATTTTAAAAACAGTTATTCCAAAGTTTCCCTCTCTTTATGGGTCATTTTGTACTGATTCGTCGTATAAAACAACGAATGCGTAGCTGACGTGACAAATAGTCAGCTGATCAGATACCCACAATTCTAACCAAAAGTGGTAGGGGTAGAACTAGTCGCCAGCAACGAGAGTCTCAGTGTCTGTTCTGTTCCTCTCCCGCCTCCAACGTACCTAGTCGGTGAAACTTTCGTTCGTGCAAATTAAATTCATTTCACGGTGTTGGTCGGATAAATTTTCATTTTCTCGAAATCGTATAGCCTATATCCCGAAGGGATATATTTGCAACGCGAGTGGAAAATAGAATCAGTTTTGTTTGTCAAACAAGTGTCAAAAAGTTTGTTTTAACGGCCAACGCAATCCGCCATTTGGAAATTTCACGTTCGTCACACGAGTTCAAATCGATCACATTTTTTATTAGAAAACCAGCTAGTTACAATTCCTCATCCCTATCCTTCAATTTGTGTCAGTGTTTATTGTGGACGTCCGAAATTGTAAGTAATTTGTGTTATTTATTTGTTAACTTTAGAATTCAGTGAGTCGCACATGGTAAATTTTCCTGTTATATTTTGTTAGTTCATGTCAAATAATCACATGTTTCCAGGTTCGAATTCAATTTGCTGATTTCTATATCCATTTATAGTGTAACAATCTGTATTATTTACTAAGCTGTGATGATTCAATAGTATTAAGAATAAATAGACGAAAATGTTTTTGTAGGGTAATTCAGAGTTACTTCATAAGATTTTTATAGTGTTGGAATTTTTTCACAGAGTCATTATCGAATTTCATTGTTGAGTATTAAGGTACAATTCATTAACGAGTGCCACAGTCAGTATTTAATTTGGGGGAATTAAATCAATATCAAAGGAGGGAGCAGGTAGCTGGTTCGGCTAGATACGGAGGTGTTATCGGAGGCTGTGTCAGTTTGAGTATAGATGAACCGCCAAAGCACCAAATTAGCCATAAAACAATAAGCAACATTCTAATAAATACTACTACGATTAAGCACAATATTGTTTAATCAGTTGGACTGCGAGACTTGACTTTCGTTTTTGAATCGTTGGCCAACGTACTGGATTTGCTTGGTACTGGTCATCTCAACATTAAATTAAATACCACTCTTCCGTTGACACTTTCGAGATCAGTGTGAAACCGCACCGTATCTTCCCTTTTGATACATCCATTCAACATTCTCAAACAAAAACTTCAAATTGATTGTGTCACTCAAGGTCATTTTGTATTAAATAAACCACAACCAGCAACTGTAAATTGAAACCAATTGTAATTCGTTAATTCTGTTTAATAAATCAAATTGTTACTCACTTTCTAGTTCTCTATAACCTTGGTAATTCATTGTTAGCAATATTATTTAATTATTGGAATAAAGGTAATTCAGTAAATCATAGGCCACTACAAAAGATACACCTTTTAAGTGCAACACTAAGTACTAGTGTGGTAGTGAGCAGATTAAATTCAGTGTAGAATTAAGATTGGTAAATATTATTTACAAAAGGTATTGCATTCTGGAAGAACTTCAAACAGTACCAAGGACGTCCCATAAGGATCTCTGGGGAGTATTTTTTATTTTACAGGGCCCACTCAAATATTTTTTTAACACCAAGCTTCCACTGCCAAAGCTCTGTTTTATATTATTACTTTCCAAGTTCTTCCAACCTAGGGACAACCAAAATTTGTAAAGAATTCATTTTGAGAGCATTGCAAGGAGTAAATATATTTAAATACAATATTTAAATATATAAAAAGTAGAAGTTAGAGAATCTTTTTATTTTTCTTTACAATTTTCAAATTGAGGGACAACTAGCGTCTTAAGCCAGAATAAAATACAAATAAAACAGTAAATTGTATAAATACCCCCGCCGCAGCAAACCTGCAGACTAAGCGAATTTCAACTTGTCTGATTACCGTACATATTTACTAAAATACTTCCATAAATAAGACATATTTTATTTATTCCCAATTTAAATAACATTAGTTATAACGAATGCTTAGGTTTGCTGCTACGGGGAAGGTAAACAGTGTTTTTTGACCAAACAACAATAGTATAGGATGAAATAAATAAGTTTGCCAAATTTGATCAACATATATCCATAAACAAGTAAACTACAACAGTTTTCATTTTCTCCATAAGAATAACATGGGAATTTTAAATTTGCATTTTTTGAATTTTCTCCGTGACTGTTAGGCATACAACAATGCTTCAATATACTAAATTATTTCTTTTTTTAAGCTCTACAAAATGGTTAGGAAAGAAATTCTAAAATTTTATATTTTTAGGGTCAAAAATGGGAAAAACCCATTTTTACCCCATAAAACCCCCCATAAACCCCTGTTCTCATGGTCCGATTATGCTGGATCGCGAACTCGTTCGAATAAATGTAGGTTTACATGTTTGTACCAAATTTCATCAAAATCGGATCATTTTTGCTAGAGTTATCGCGCTAACGGACACACACATATATATATATATATATGAATTTGAACGGATGGTGTTTTTGGCCTCTAGGGACCTCAAAACGAAAAAAAATCGGTCCCGCGTCCAGGTCTTACCATGAGTACTACGGTAATAGCTTATTCCCTATATGGGAAATTCGCTAAAAGTACTCTTGGTTTTTTATTAGGATCTATACTAAATATCAAAACAAGTTTCTAGTGAACAAATATTAAAAACAAATATTTAAACTGACTAAAAACAAATTTTTGTCAGTTTCGTCACTGTCCCTATGTATGGGTCAAGAATTTAAAACTCTCTTTAAATAGGATAAAAACACAAAAATGTAAAATAAAAACCAAGCAAATCACATTAAGTTTGTTGTTATTTCTTTCCTTACACCCATTTTCAATATAGAATTACTTTTCACCCTAATAATTCAAGGATTCAACGTGTCCCAGAAATGCTGCGATTGTCGGCTACAAGTTTTTAATTTTGCGCCACAGCGTGGACAGAGTGAAGAAAAATCTCCGCGAAGTGTTTTAGTGTCGGCAACAAGTTCACAGTTGAGTGAGGACAGTCAATAGTTGGATAGTCAAAGTTATAATAAGTGAATTATATCGAAAATACCAACATCTAATGTGAGTACCTTTAGGGACGCGTTGCAGAAAGTCAACAGTCCCGGAAGGTCAAATAATTTATACCTGTGCCGCTAGGTCAAAAACTACAATGTTTGC